ACCTGAGTACTTGCAGGAAGAGTGCTCGCCTTTGGGCGAGACAGGGAGGTGAATCGCTGGGGGACCAGGACTGGCCGCTACCCCGACAAAGATAAAAGGCTGTTGGGCTCCGCCCCAGGTTGCGGGAGCAACATTGCTGTTTGCTAGAACTTGCCTGAGGCCCTGTGCCTGACCTTGCCTGGTTCCCTGCCTTGTGACCTGCCTTGGCCCTGTCGGACAGACGCCTAGCGGAACCCTTGGATTCAGGACCAGATCTGGACCGTGTTGCTTGGGTTTACCCCCAGGCCCAGGACTCCAGGGTTCAAATCCCCACTGGGTGACCTTGGGCCAGTCACTGCCTCTCTGCCTAACCTACCTCACAGGGTTGTCGTGCAGGGTGAAATGAGGAGGGAGAGAACCTTGTACAGTGGTACCTCGGGTTACATACGCTTCAGGTTACAGACTCCGCTAACCCAGAAATAGTGCTTCAGATTAAGAACTTTGCTTCAGGATGAGAACAGAAATCGTGCTCCGGTGGCGCAGCAGCAGCAGCAGGAGGCCCCATTAGTTAAAGTGGTGCTTCAGGTTAAGAACAGTTTCAGGTTAAGAACGGACCTCTGGAACGAATTAAGTACTTAACAGGAGGTACCACTGTACAGCGCTTCAAGCTCCTGAGAGAGAAAAGAGGTGTGATATAAATGTAATCAATGAAAATATGAGCTGTTTTCCCCTTCCCAAATGGAGAGCCTTCTGGTTTCCCTATCCTGAATTCTACAGTGGGATGGAGGGCACATCCGTCTCCTTAATCAATGCTTTGAGAGAGGAGGTGTTTAGGGGCCAGGGGCATGAAATATTGTGTCTGTGGGGGAAGCAGAAACCCAGTGATTGTTCTTTTCTGGGACAAGCAGGGTGATTTAGTCAAACAACCTGCAAGCACTGAGGATGCAAACACCCCCCTTGACAATTAAACTTGCTCCAAAAAATGCAGCGCAGCAAACGGCTTCCTTTGCAATTACTGGAGAGGTGTGCAGGAGAGAAGCCATCGCTTTAAAGAACTTTCATTCCTTATGAGCGAGGAAACGAGGAGATGAAATATCTGTGCCTGTTAAAAAGAAGACATTTGCTTGGTTTTTTTTGTTGAGGTGAGGGTGAGAACGAACCACCATCTTCTCGGAACAGGTTTCTTAATAGTGTGCTTAGACTAAAATTACAATCTCACTCACTCGTTCCTCTTTCTTCTAAACAGAAGAATGGAAATGAAGGCCTCCCAGGCTATTAGGATAAATCAAGAGCAGTTAGGCCGGGTGAGGTATTTACAAGGAGTGCGTAATAGATATTTTTTTGGGGGGGGGGGGGGTCGAAGGCAGTGTAATTACCTAGCAGACCCAGGGCTTGGAATGGAAGGGGCGGGGGAAGCACTGGAGGGATGGGGACAGGAAGAGGAAAGGCACATTGATGCACATCAAAGAAAACAGTATCCGGCTCCGAAAAGGTTTCGGTCCAACCGCCCTGCACCTTGCCACCCTTACACCCATTCCGCTGACAATTTAATGGGCTTGCAAGTGCCTGGGAGATGGGGAAAGGGCTTTGTTAGTGGGGAAGCCCAGCCAGATGGGTGGGGTATAAATTATTATTATTACTGTTGTTGTTGTTGTTGTTAGGCAGAAGTAGATGCTGAAGGCCTAGGACCCACGTACCTACGGGACCACCTCTCCTGGTATGCCCCGCGGAGGACCTTAAGGTCCACAAATAACAACACTTTGGAGGTCCCGAGCCTCAAGGAGGTTAGATTGGTCTCAACTAGGGCCAGGGACTTTTCAGTACTGGCCCCGACTTGGTGGAACGCTCTGTCACAAGAGACTAGGGCCCTGCGGGACTTGACATCTTTCCACAGGGCCTGCAAGACGGAGCTGTTCCACCTGGCCTTTGGTTTGGACTCAGTCTGACCCTTATGTTTCCCTCCCCTTATGGTTTTGATCTATGGGCTACTATTAAAATAAGGCTGCATTTATATTTTAACCTGTATTTTAAATTGTTTTTATTATTATTATTATTATTGTAATTTTACTGGTGTTAGCCGCCCTGAGCCTGGCTCTGGAGGGGAGGGCGGGGTATAAATAAAATTTTACTATTCTTATTGTTGTTGTTGTTATCTCAGGCCATGCTGGTATTGACTGATCTCAAATGATCTTTAATTTCATCCCAAAGGGGCTTCTGAAAATAAGGAGGAAAAGCAGAGCGGATCAAAGATTTTTTTTTAAAAAAACTCAGTGGGTAAGAGAAAACGATGTGTTTGTGTGTTGGGGGGGGGAGGTACCTACTGTCTGTACCTTGCTGTCTGTGCAAGTGTACTAATGCACAGACCTGAGTAAATAATAAAAAAGGACATTTCAAACAACATGTAGATCCTCACACTTTTGCTTGGACTTCCCAGTGACATGTAGCATACACGTGTATTATAAACAGACGCGGGTGGCGCTGTGGGTTAAACCACAGAGCCTAGGGCTTGCCAATCAGAAGGTCGGCGGTTGAATCCCCGCAACGGGGTGAGCTCCTGTTGCTCAGTCCCAGCTCCTGCCAACCTAGCAGTTCGAAAGCACATCAAAAGTGCAAGTAGATACATAGGTACCGCTGTGGCGGGAAGGTAAACGGCGTTTCCTTGCGCTGCTCTGGTTCGCCAGAAGCGGCTTAGTCATGCTGGCCTCATGACCCGGAAGCTGTACGCCGGCTCCCTCGGCCAATAAAGCGAGATGAGCACCACAACCCCAGAGTCGGCCATGACTGGACCTAATGGTCAGGGGTCCCTTTACCTTTACCTTACAATGTGCTCCACAAGCAGAAATGCGCCACTTACGAAAACCGACAAATTTGCAATTTGCAAAAAAACACCCCAGCCCGGTGCTGTCTTGCAAATGCAAGGGGCTATGATATGGATTCAGCTTGATGCTGGAGAGGTTGCCTGGGGCACCCCAAATCTAGACTGCATTCCAGAATGAGGGCCAAAGATTCGATAGCTTCAGGAAATAAAATCCGGGTCTGCAAATCTTTCAGCCTGGAACTTCTCCAACTGCTCACTGATGTGCTCCATTGTCAAGGTTTGCTATAGGACAATCGGAGGATGTATGCCCCACGTTGTCTGCACGCCACTGGTAATTGCATTGAGATCTATTTAATGCCCGCTGTCACAGGGACAATGCTCAGTGCCTATATATCTCCATTTTTATGTGATCCGCTGCTGTGACACCAGTAGACCTACCAAGGTGATAAAGTGACTGAATAAGATTCCCCATTGTCAAGTGAGTGAGTGACTCTCTGTAGATTTTGGCTGCAGCTGATTTTCCTGTGCTCTGATAAGTTTTATAACACTTACCTGTCACTCGCAGCAAAGGGTCGTGGAGCAGGGGACTCAGCCACCTTGACACCGTCTCATCTAAGTTCCTTCCAAGAGATGGAAAGGGAAGATGCTCCCCATAAGCGTTCCTCACACACCTTCTCCAGGCGATAATGAGAAATGTCAGGCAAGAGATTCCCCTACTGGAAAGGCACTGGCAACTGAAGTTTTGAGCTGGAAACACTTCTCCACCCTCCCAACTGCTTGTTTGAGGATCGTGTGAGATGGAGCAGCTCCCCTGCTATGAGCAAGAGGGGACATGATAGAAATGAATGTATATTATGTGTGACATGGAGAAAGTACATAGAGAAAAGTTCTTTTCTGGTTCGCACTGGAACTTGGGGGCGTCCATTGAAGCTGAATATTCAGAACAGAAAGGGTGGGGCCCCTGAATGTATGGAGATTGACCCTTGGGTCCAAATTGTTGGAAATAGATACACCTGTGTATATATATATATATATATATATATATATATATATATGTATGTGTGTGTGTATATATATATGTGTGTGTGTGTGATATGTGTGTGTATCTTTACTGAGTGTAATTAGAATTTGAAAACATACAAAATGCAATGATACAAAGGTTAATTACAAAAGCTCTAAGGAGCCAGGGCGGTAATGCGGATGATGACAATGTGAATGTATAATATTAATTGGAATACACACACACACACACACACACACACACACACACACACACACACGTGTATCTATTTCCAACAATTTGGACCCGAGAGTCAATCTCCATTCATATATATATATATATATATATATATATATATTCATATATATACAGTGGTACCTTGGGTTAAGTACTTAATTCGTTCCGGAGGTCCGTTCTTAACCTGAAACTGTTCTTAACCTGAAGCACCACTTTCGCTAATGGGGCCTCCTGCTGCCGCCGCGCCGCCAAAGCACGATTTCTGTTCTCATCCTGAAGCAAAGTTCTTAACCCGAGGTACTATTTCTGGGTTAGCGGAATCTGTAACCTGAAGCGTATGTAACCCGAGATACCACTGTATATATTACACTCAATAAAGAAATAGCTCAAAATTTAAATAAATATAGAAAGGTAGAAAATTTCTCATTACAAATCTTCAGACAACCCTGCTAGTGATGGTAATTGATTACAATAATAAAGAAATTATACAACATCACTTTTAACTTGCTGAGGTTTCCATAATACACTTTTCTCTCTTCATCTTTTTCTTAACGTATCAAAAAAGGGAAGACCAAGAAAGGAAACTCAAAAAGGAAAAAAGAAGGAGAAGAGGAAGGGAGGGGGGAGAAGTGAAGGGAAGGGGGAGCGAGAAAAGAAAAGAGGAAGAAAAATTCAAAGCAAGACAAACATGTTTAACTTCTGATTAGACTCGTATTATTATTTCTACAATTTTTTTCATACACAGTTCCAAGTTATTATATTTCTTTCTTTGTTTTCATCAGATATCAAAAAACATTATGTTTGTTGTTTTACAAGGTTCATTCTATTTCTGCCAGGAGATATTTGTTATTGTAATAGTTTTCCAAATATTCTTTAAAGATTTTCCATTCTTTCTGTACTTTCTGTTCTATTCTATTCTAGACTGCATCCACTGAAGTATGGTGTCCTGATCAAGGGAAGTAACAGCACCACTCTATTCTGCATGGGCAGTGGCGTAGCGTGGGGGGTGCAGGGGGGGCCGGCCGCACCGCGCGCAACATCTGGGGGGGGTGCGCTCGCACTCGTAGCTCTCTTCCCCTACCTGGCTCACTCACTCTCTCTCACTGCAGTGCTGGCTGTGCGAATCCGATCCGAGCCGCTGGGTCGCCGCCCACTGTGGAGGGGGTGGGTGCCAGGCGTGCGGTGCGGAGAGAGAGCGAGGGACTATCTGGGGGAGGGACAGTGCAGCAGCCGCCCAGAGCAGCGCTGAGCGTGGGAGAGAACCACACCAGACCAGCCCAGGCAGCAGCAAGAAGAAGCTGGCAGCGGCGGCAGGTTAGGGGTTAGGGGGCGCAAATTACTTGCCTTGCCCCGGGTGCTGACAACCCATGCTACGCCGCTGTGCATGGGTCAGACCACACCTGGAATACTGTGTCCAGTTCCGGGCACCACAATTTAAGAAGGATGTTGACAAGCTGGAAGGTTTGCAGAGGAGGGCAACCAAGATGATCAAGAGTCTGGAAACCAAGCCTGATGAGGAACGGTTGAAGGAGCTGGTATGTTTAACCTGGAAAAGAGGAGACTGAGAGGAGATATGATAGCCATCTTCAAATATCTCAAAGGCTGTCCCATGGAAGAGGGAACGAGCTTGTTTTCTCCTGCTCTGGACGGTAGGACTCGAACCAATGGATTCAAGTTGCAAAAAAGGAGATTCTGACTAAACATCAGGAAAAACTTTCAGATGGCAAGAACTGTTCATTTGTGAACAGATTACCTTGGAAGGTGGTGAATTGTCCTTCATTGGAGGTTTTTAAACAGGTGGCCATCTATCCTGGATGCTTTAGCTGAGATTCCTGCATTGCATTTGGCTGGACTAGGTGATTCTCAGGATCTCTTCCAGCTCTATGATTCTGTGTGTATTTGTTTGGTTCACACCAAGATCCAGAGGCTATGAAATTCACTGTTTTCATGGGGCAATGAAGGGCCAGAAAGGAAGGGAACAGTCCAAATTTTGGGACCATTTGTGGCTAAGCATTTTCTTCAGTTGAGACACCTTTTTGCTTCTTTTCTATCTAGCGCCGCTCGCTGTCCCCATTTCGTTCTTCTTCCGTTTGAACTCTTTCCCTTTCTTTTCCTGTCCATGATTGATTTTAATTGTCGGAATTGTCTCTGTGGGAGGCTGGGCTTCTTGCTGTGAGTGAATGCCGATGAGTAGGAGGGAAGCCTACTCAAACAGGCACTTTCTCTGCACCACTTCCAAACCGTTCTCATATGAGATTTCCTGCAAAATTTCACCGAAACTCATCCGTCTCAAAAGCCTGAGATTGACTCAGGTGATGCTGATTCCTGGCCTGCCCCACCCATGTGGTGGGAAATAAGTGTGCATCTTCTGGTTCCATCCACTGACCAGTCTTATCCCCGGAATTTCTTGCAGGGGCATAATTTTCTAATGGGACTTAGATTCCGGCAGCCATCAGGTTCTTCTTAGGATTCTGTTGGAAACTCACGTTTGCTGCTGGAGCTGTCCAGGGCCAATGATGGCTAGAGATGCAGTAAGAGAACTCTCTTTTCTGGCACTGTCAAAGAGACAAATCACAGGAGGCTGTCAAAAACCATGTCAGGCTATTGGCAGCGACAGTTCTTCCAGGGTTCTTCCAGCTCTACAAGGAAATTCCAGGGACTGAACCCTGGACTTTCAAATGCAAAGCAACTGCTCTGGCCTATGGCCCCTTCCCAAACCCAAACTGAATTGATTACCTGTATACAGTTCTCTACAGGGACACAGATGGCGCTGTGGGTTAAACCACAGAGCCTAGGACTTGACGATCAGAAGGTCGGCGGTTCGAATCCCTGCGACGGGGTGAGCTCCCGTTGCTCAGTCCCTGCTCCTGCCGACCCAGCAGTTCGAAAGCACCTCAAAGTGCAAGTAGATAAATAGGTACCGCTCAGGCAGGAAGGCAAACGGCGTTTCCATGCGCTGCTCTGGTTCGCCAGAAGTGGCTTAGTCATGCTGGCCACATGACCTGGAAACTGTAAGCCGCCTCCCTCGGCCAATAAAGCGAGATGAGCGCCGCAACCCCAGAGTTGGCCACGACTGGACCTAATGGTCAGGGGTCCCTTTACCTTTACCTTTATACAGCTCTCTACAGGTCTGAGACCTCCTGAGCCAGTGTGGTGTAGTGGTTAAGAGCGGTAGTCTTGTAATCTGGGGAACCGGGTTCGCGTCTCCGCTCCTCCCCATGCAGCTGCTGGGTGACCTTGGGCCAGTCACTCTTCTCTGAAGTCTCTCAGCCCCACTCACCTCACAGAGTGTTTGTTGTGGGGGAGGAAGGGAAAGGAGAATGTTAGCCGCTTTGAGACTCCTTAAAGGGAGTGAAAGGCCGGATATCAAATCCAAACTCTTCTTCTTCTTCTTCTCCTCCTTCCTGCAGGCAAATCCTGCTGCTGTTAGCTCCCAGTTCCCTTCAGCATCCTGCGGCCACCCAGTCTGGCTGGCTTTTAGGTCCCAGACATCTTGTGGGTTACATGAAACCAAAATGGAATGTCTTTTACTAACGAACACTGGGAAACTCTGCAAAGAAAAGTCTCAAGCTCTGAAACAGCATTTAATGCCTCTTGATCTGGATCTGAGTGGGGTTTTGTGGGTTGCCAGTCTTGAGTGAATCCTGTGTACTTTGCTGCTTCTGTCTTTTGCTGTTGTGCTGAAGTACGTTATTGTGTGGGCACGCATTCCAGCCTGAACTATTGCACATACAATGACATATTAATTAATTATCTAAATTAATTAAAAGCACAATGCAAATCTTCTTTAAGGATTTTCTAGAAGAGAGCCAGTGGATTAAAACAGTTTATTTTAAAGTGAATAGAAGGGAACGTTAGATAGAACAGAGCTTCATCTTCTTCTTTTCTTAACGCATCCTGCTGTTCAGCTAAGGCTTTTGCAAAAAAAGAAGAAGTCTTCAATAAATGCCAAAGAACTGGATAATACAAAGGATGAGATACAGTGTTAGACTCATAGACAGAAAATCACAATCCTGAACTGGGCAAATTCCTTGGGCAGTTTTTTGAACAGGGCCCCCATGTTAAAAGGAATGCTTCTGGAAGCCATTGATGAAATTATTCCAAAACAATTTGTTTAAATTTGGGGGCACATTTTGAATCCAGACTGGGCTGTATTCCAGGTAATCTCAGTGGAAGTTTGATAGATCACAGGGGTCTTCCCCATTCCCTGCCATTAGTCTCTATCACCAGCCAGCCCATCCCCCTTTACCAAGGGAGCTACCAGTTGGGTGTTCCTTGCAAGATCAGTGCTCTTTGTCTTTTGCAGCATCCGCACAAGGTTGTTGTCATCAAAACTCCAACCTGCATCTCTCCCCTCCTCCCCCACAATTGAGTGCCTCTCCAGACTGATGTTTTATTGTGGTTGTATTCAACTTGTTCTTTTTGCAATGCTTAGTTAAACTGTGGACCTTGTTCCAGCAGGAGGCAATGATGGCCACCAACACGGGCAGCTTAAAAGAAATTCATGGAGGAGAGGGATGTTGATGGCTACTAGCATCTTACAAAGCAGAGACATCACCTTGCCAACAAAGGTCCGTATAGTTAAAGCTATGGTTTTCCCAGTAGTGATGTATGGAAGTGAGAGCTAGACCATAAGGAAGGCTGATCGCTGAAGAATTGATGCTTTTGAATTATGGTGCTGGAGGAGACTCTTGAGAGTCCCACAGACTGCAAGAAGATCCAACCTCTCCATTCTGAAGGAAATCAGCCCTGAGTGCTCCCTGGAAGGACAGATCCTGAAGCTGAGGCTCCAAGACTTTGCCCACCTCATGAGAAGAGAAGACTCCCTGGAAAAGACCCTGATGTTGGGAAAGATGGAGGGCACAAGGAGAAGGGGACAACAGAGGACGAGATGGTTGGACAGTGTTCTTAAAGCTGCCAACATGAGTTTGACCAAACTGCAGGAGGCAGTGGAAGACAGGAGTGCCTGGCGTGCTCTGGTCCAGGGGGTCACGAAGAGTCGGACATGACTAAACGACTAAACAACAACAACAACAGCCATAAGCGCTAAGCTCTGCCTCCACAGTTGGAGGCATCGATGTTTCTGAATGCTAGTTGCTGGAAACCACAGGAGGGGTATTTGTGTTCTTATGCCCAGGTCCTGGTTTCTGGTTCCCCACTGGTATTTGGTCAGCCACTGGGAGCACAAGATGCTTCTTTAGTGAGACGGCTCTTGCTTTGGAGTCGCTTTCAATGTCCCAACACTTCTCGCACCCTTCCGTGATGTGTGTGTGTGTGATTCTGGATGGAAGCAGCTTGTAACAATGACTGGAATCATGGGCTCCTGGAATCATGATTAAATTTGGGGCTTTGGGGTTTGCTGGAGGGAATTCTGAATACTGCTGTAAAGGATTCCTCCTCTCCTCCTTGCTTTAGACCAGGGGTAGCAGTGACTACATTATTACATGAGCACCGTTCCACAGCATTTGATATTTTCATTTACATTCATTCATTCGAAATAAGATGGGGTATGTACTCTTTTTCATTACTGTTTGTAATATAGTTTATAATTTTTGTAAAGTGATATGTGCACACAGGTCATTGTCTGTAAAATTTTATTTTCAGTTTATGAAGCAATTCTATATCCTCCCACCACGCTGACGAAACAGTAGTCTTTATCCGGAATCACTGTTCAGTGTTGGACATCATATCTGCTGAATACACAAAGCTTCACATCTTGTCTGTCATCGTTCAAAGTCTGGTACCTCGCTTCATTTAAAGATTTTCAGAGACTTTGAGACTAAAGATTTCATTTCGGACTTGTTATGGTTTGAAGGAATTCTATAAAAGATTGTTTATTCCATATGTACCTGGTCATCGTGTTGCCTAGACATTGCTGACGTTTCTCTTTGCAACACAGGGGTAGGCAACCTAACGCCCGTGGGCCGGATGCGGCCCAATCGGCTTCTCAATCCGGCCTGAGGAAGGTCCAGGAATCAGCGTGTTTTTACATGAGTGGAATGTGTCCTTTTACAGTGGTACCTCAGGTTACATACGTTTCAGGTTACAGCCTCCGCTAACCCAGAAATAGTGCTTCAGGTTAAGAACTTTGCTTCAGGATGAGAACAGAAATCGCGCTCCAGCGACGTGGTGGCAGCGGGAGGCCCCATTAGCTAAAGTGGTGCTTCAGGTTAAGAACAGTTTCAGGTTAAGTACGGACCTCCGGAACGA